TTGAGGCAGGTCCGAGAACTAGTGGTGAAGTTATTACAACAAGAGAAGTCGATAAAGAAACGAGATTATTGAAGAAGTTCAAACATGGGCTGATGAAAATACGACCCCTATAAACGACAAGAATGAAGTATATATATGTATATATATATCTGTTTGTTATGTTTGTTGTTTTCGAAGTAAGTATGGAATATTATCACACTTAATTCTGCATTTCACTTATGATCTTCAATAAAACCAGTATTCAATGATTATTATATAGGTACCTACCTAGTTCGGTTTTTAAACTGTGTAATAGTGTGGTGGAAGAAATTACTCGTCTATGTTCATAAATATTTTTTAATTTTCCGCAGAACCTGGAATCATTCTTTGAGAGACACAAGAAACAATCCTTGAAAAATCAGAGGGGGTTATCAATGAAAATATGTAGCCGACACTACTTATATAAAAAACAGTTACTCTGTCAGATGAATCTTGTGACCACAATTCCTTGATAACTTCTGCGAACGCTTTGATTAAAGCACCCTTCATACTAGAAATATTAGTACATATTGATATATTTCCTGTACGCATCCTTTTTTTAATATTGAATTACACTGCTCATGAAACAGGTATTGCCAATATTTTTCAACCCATTAAGCCCAACGGTTTCAACTGAAGAATGTATCATTGTATCACTGATCTAATGTTGTAACTGTCAATGCTTCGTTCGCCCTTGCTGTTTTTTTCAGAGTAATCACGGATGCGATGATTCTCCCAATCAATGGACCGGCAGCAGGATGAGGAATTCGAAGCTAAAATGCTTGAAACTGAATTGGATAGAATTATGGCAAACCTTTTGAGTTTGGGAGAAAAAGATAATTGGCTGAATTACCACGCTGTATAGCGAAACTCATTTTTGGTATCAGAAAGGTGGTGCATCTTTTTTCTTTAGTTTATTCAGTCATCCTTCTACCAATTTCATCGAAGAAATTAAGATGTGAGGTGCCAAATACAGCGAAAGTTTCTACAGCCACATGATAGGAAGTTATTTCCAACATTTCGGTACTTCTGCTGTTTTGCTTTCTCGCTAATTATGGCAACAGTGTGGTACCAGTGTGTCCGCACATGTGAAATGAAATCCCAACGACAGCTTTGCCGCATTTCTAGGGATATTACGGGTAATAAATCCCTTTTCATGATGTCGTTGATTTGGTTATGTCTTGGAAAACTTCCAGAACTCTTTCTGCAGCTCAAACCATGAGTCCATTTTTCATTTACCATCTAAATAGATTCGCCTTCGACGGCTAAATCATATATTATATTAGTGAAGGAGACTGGAAGATTGCGAAACATTGTTAATTCATGGAAGACATTAATGCTGATGATGCTGAGCGCAGACCCAACCCTCCGTGATTCACAGGTAATGTTGCTTGAGAAATATCAGTGAAACATATGTAATAAAAGATACAAAAATACAACAATTCACAATTAAACTCAACAACTACACCATTACCCCTTTTTCGATATGGATATAATAATAAAATGAATAACCATGCTCTCGCTTGGCTGAGTCGAGTTGACTGACCGATTACCCATCACAAACTCTTAGGCCACCCATTTTTTTTGTCCGCTCGACCTTGAGCTAAGAACAATCAGTTTGAAAGAAAATAATAGAAAGTCTGAAGTCTCCGGTTGCGAGCTCGTTTTCCCAGTATTTCATTCGTCATCGGGGTGAGCACTCTGCTCACTGTCACTACTTTTAACATCGGTCGTGAAAGGCTTCATCTCATTTATGGCATATACTCCTGTATACTTTCTTAGCGATCTTTTCAAACCCTTCCTATCACTGACTTCATATCTATCATTGGCCAGAGTCTTAGTGATAACATATGGTTTCACGCTTCTGAAGAATTTCTTCGCTTAGATCCTAAGAATACTTCTTTGGCGTCTATTTTTCTATTTTCAATGTTCACATAACGTATCACTTCCGACATTTGGTCAATATGTGAAATGTCAAGTGTGCTATCAAACATAATATCAAAATATTTCGCCGATTCAATTTCGTTATCAAGCTTAATTTTCACATGGTTCGATAAAACATTAAAGAATTCATTTTGTGTATCTAGCGACAAATATGATACTTTTGAAGTTTTATCTTGTTCCAATTTCATCACGTGTTCTTTCAACACTACATAATACTTTGATAATAGTTTGACTAATTCTAAAAGATTGCCTTTATTTTTAGAGTCCTGTCCTTCATCATATCCACGAAATGTCAAGTTTCGTTTAGCCAGAAATAAAGTTATATCCAGTAATGTATTCAAAAGATTCTTTCACCTCTGTTTTTCTGTTTCCATCAATTACAAAGCTGCATCATCTATTATTTTATGCAATTTTAGACTCATTCCTCAAGATTTACTAGATGTTCATTTGTATATGGTCAGACACTTTCGGATTTAGTTTCCACCACTTTTGAAATACAGTCGTAGATGGTCCCGCATAGCGAATAAACGACAGCAGAAGCAGTACAGGTTATTAGTGGTAGGGGAATAAACCCTCCATGACCGTTGAATTTTTCCACTATAAGTCATAATTTCATAAAACCAACCATGAAAGATGACGTGCGTAGCCTTTCATTTTGTTTCCGTGTCTAGATACAGTGGCAAATGGTCCTTCCCTGTTTTGAGAATATTCACTTTCTTTTTTTATTATCTTCATGCGAACATTGTAAGGAATAGAAATACTCTATTCTGACACATCCTTAAAGTATGAAAATGGTTGATTTTTGTTGGAAATGCAATGAGGGCAGTGCAAAAGTGTAATTACAATAAGTCTGAGTTACTTCTAAACGTTATATTGAACATATCAATAATTTATATATATTATAATGAACTTGTATCTGACTTGTTTCATCAACTATCTATCAATTTTGGATTAAGTAGCTTCAGATTATTTTTAGCTGGTTTTTCAATCATAATTAGGTATTACAAAAAACTGAATCTGGGCTGGTAGTTCGTGGTCAAATAGCACTTATAGTATTAAACGTTTCGCCTGCTACAGTGGTATGTGTGTTAACTGTGAGGATAAAGGTTATGTCTCAAAGTCTTGGCAGTAACCGACTCAGTATATTTGGCACAAAAGTTAAAATTACCCCTCCTAACTAATCTAAAATATTTCAAGGATAACTGGAATCTGTTTAAAATCTGTTTTTAAGTTAACAAGTTGTTATCTTACATCAGTGGAAAAATGCTAAATTTTTACAAAAGTGGCAGTTAATACTTAGTTATTGCTCAAATTTGTTCAACAAATAAGATGAAAAGTTAATGAGAGTCAGTGGCATACCATTCTGAGGAGAATATACTAACACTGTGTTACAGAGCACATAAATACTGCACAAACGTTCTATCAGAAGGCGAAGTCTCGTGATTGCCAGACTTTCTCGATGGACATGTTGAAAATTTTTGATTTAGGGCCCCAACAAATTCATTGAATGGTGATTGTAGGACCATACGGAGAAATTGCCTGGTTGCCAGAACAGATACAGAGACAGGCTTATCTGGTTATTTCTTGAGCCATCAGCACCACACTGTCAGGGGCCATGGAAATCCTTCTAGGCCTATCTCCTCTCCACATCTTTCTAGAAAAATAGGCTGGATGAACAGTATACAGGATTGTCCATATGAATAATTCCACAAAACAGTTTCATGTGGAGTGTTGGAGTCGATCAACCACATTTATTAGGATACTAGCTGACCCGACAGACTTCGTCCTGTCAAAAAGATTTGTAATGTGGCAGTTTTTTTGCCTACGTATTTAAAANTATATTTATCGTTTTTTTGAAAATTCTTAAAACAAATATAAAAGTGCTAATTACTCAGTAACGATGAATCGATTTTCAAAAATGAACATTTCAAAAATGGAATGGAAAGAGCAGTGAAAGCTTATTCAACGAAGTATCACATGACCCCCATATCCATTAAAAAAGTTGGAAGCGCCCTCTCGACGACGAGTGATGCAACACTTATATTTCTTATCGAAAAGTACTAAAAATGACGCCTTTTCACATACATTTTGCCCAACCTTGATATCTTGTTTTGGTAAAAAGTGAAGAAATTGTTGGAGGACTTTTTACGTCCGCAGTATATACATACACACTCGTGCGCGTGGACATAGACACATACACTTTTTGATCAGGTTGTAGTTTGTATAAATCATTTGTTATTTACAATATTTTTTCAGATCCTGGAATCGGAGCTCTTGTATATTTTTCTCGAGAGAATGTATCTGTTTGAAGCTGGAATGCAACCGTGTTAGGAATCACACGTTAAAAGGTAAGACCTCGTTAGTCCTCAGCTCGCACAAGTTTCTCAACTTCTGAGAGTTATCGTTCATATGGGGGCGTCAGCTGATTAACGGAAAAAACAGATTTTAAACAGATTTTTAAACAGAAGAGGTCTAGTTTCAGTGGAAATCTCGAAAAACCATTTTCCACCCTCAAAATTTAGTAGTTAAGTAGAAGTTAATTTTTTTCCAAATAAAATAATATCCCATGAACTCAAAAACGCCGGTCGAATATAGCTTCTAATTTCAAATGACAATACAGGTTTGTTATTGAAAGAAAATTTGAAACTAAGTGCTTGAGCAAAGTAGAAGTTGAATTTTATGAAAAAACACAAGTCATACACCACTCACTCTGAAGGAATGATAATACTCCTATTTCAAAATTACTGTAGTTTCATTAATATTAATATGTATGTGATGGAATTGGCCGATAGTTGATGAAAATCCATGTATTTGAGTAACACTTCATTGTGACATTTTCACTAAACAGGTTACAAAACCGTAACACATGTTTCACTATACAATAGTTTCTTCAGACGTTCAATTGACCAAGCTTGTAGAAGTTATCACATAGTGAAGCAAGTGTTGTTGTTTTGTGAAGTGTTTAGTGGAAATCCCATAATGAAGTGTTGCTTGAATACAACATCGATATGTTCTAATCATATAATTAACACATTCTATAAAGATTAAACTTTATTGGTCGAATAAGAATACCGTATTTTGAGAAAAATTACAATAAAATGGTTTCCTGCATTCCTTCACAATCGTGAGCTCTTAAATACAGCTTTCGAGAGAAAGATTTTGTGCACACTTTGCAATGAAACGGCTTTTCCTGAGTATGTGTATATTCATGTGGTTTCAAATGGCCTTTCTGACTGAAAGCCTTTGAGCATACTTTACACTTATATGGCTTTTCGCCTGTATGAATTCTTTCATGAACTTTAAGTGCACTGGCTTTTAAGAAAGATTTCAAACAGTAATTACAATGAAATGTTTTTTCTGCTGTATGAGATCTTTCATGTCTCTTCAAGCCAATACTTTCATTGAAAGATTTAGAACATATATTACAATTGAAGGGCTTTTGTTCGGTATGAATCTTCTCATGAATTTTTAGTGCATTGTTTTTATGGAAGGATTTTGAACAAATTTCACAATGAAATGGTTTTTTTCCAGTATGCGTTTTTTCATGTTCTTTTAAGCTACTTTCATCACTGTAAGATTTGGAGCACCTCTTACAATGAAATAGGTTTTCTCCAGAATGAATTCTTTCATGCATTTTTAATTTACTGTTTTGCATGAAAGATAATAAGCAAACTTTGCATTTAAATGGTTTTTCTCCCCCATGCAACCTTTGATGGTCTCTCAAGGTACTTATATGAGTGAAATATTTGAAGCATAATTTACAGTAGTATGGTTTCTCGCCTGTATGAGTTCTCTCATGCACTTTCAAACTACTGCTATGAGTGTAAGACTTTGAACAGATTTTGCAATGATATTGTTTTTCTCCAGTATGAATTTTTTCGTGGATATGCAGTATGCTGCTTTGAATGAAAGATTTTGGGCAGAACCTACAGCTAAATGGTTTCTCCCCAGTATGCGTTCTCTCGTGGATTATTAAATTAGATCTATAACTATAAGACTTGGTACATAATTTACATTTGAATTGCTTTTCAGAACTGTGAGCCCTCTCATGGGTTTTCAACTGACTCCTGAATCTGAAAGATTTTGGACACATTTTACAAAGCAATGTTTTTTTTCCAGTACAAGTTTTATTTTTGGAATGTTTTCCACCCCGTTTCAAGATAGGCTCATTTCCATTAGTTTCATCTTGAATTTGGCCAGTTTTAGTACTAGTAACGTCTTGTGGTATAATTTCAGGACCTACAAAATAACTGAAATTAGTAAATCTATATTTGATATTCATTAAATGAATATCAAACATAAATAAGTATACACTTTCTAGCAAATCAAACACACTTTCAATGTTTTTCAGATGATGGTAGATGATAATCTGAACAAAATAAATGAGTACCTTTAGCATATTACCACTTTAATAAGTCAAAAAGACTTGAGAAAAATGTTTGGATCCTGGTAGTCCAGTAATCAAGTAACACATTCACCTAAATTTTAAAAATGTTTACTTAGTGTTTACTTAATATTTTATGAATTATTTCTTTTTAAATATATGACATGTTTCAGATTGGTCTAAAATAGAACATTTGTATTCGAAATTGTCAATGACTGAGAGCCATTAGACATGTTTCTCTATACAATATTAACTCCTTCATTATTATTGAGTATGATCTTCAAAATACGAGTACAGCCATCCCTACTGGCAAATGTGTAAGTGTTCAGTATCTTTACCTTCCTGTTACCAGAAAAAGTATTTTCAACTATCGTCCTAAAAATTGTTATTAGCAATCACACATGAGAAATTACTCACCAAATAAGCTAAGAGGTTTCGTCAAAAAGCTCATTTGGCAGAATTTTAGTAGGTGTGAGCAGTGGAGGGTCGAACAGACCATTTTTGAACCTAACCTAGCCTGTGTATGCTCACTTATTGACAATTGGCAAAACAATTAGGTATAGCTATGCTATTAGGTATAGCATAGCTATACCTAATTGACACTCAATGTGTTCTAAAATTGGAGTTATTTGATTTGATTGAGCTGTTTATTATTTTGAACCTAATGTTTTCTTCTTTACTGTTGAATTATTGAAAAACTTTTTCCACTCTGCTTCCCCTGCCAGTCTATGCTCTAGCTCTAGACCATCTTCTTAGTTGACCTAATAGGTAATCCGGGCCTGCCTGAGTGAATTTCTTCACTAAGAAAAATTTGAGTGCAAACCCTTCTGTATTACCTAGTTTACAAACAATGACAAACTTGTTATCGAAAGGCAGAAATTCAGTATACCGACTCTATTTCACCAAGACAAAAATAAAACAGGAAATACGTTACCAGTGCTTTGACCAATCCCAGACGCTTTTACATCCTGAGTCATAACCTGACCCAGTGCACTTGTAGGTGCATTGTGTAGCATTTCACAACTCTTGTACTCGGTTACAATTTCAGTTTTGAGGTCTTGGTCGATATCAACATCATCTTCACTTTCAATTCGTCCTACCTCCTCTTTAATTATTGACAAATCTACTGTCAGTGGGGCATATTTTTCTTCCTGTTCTTCACAGTAATTAATGTAATTCATTTCTTTCTGGCATATTTCAGTTTTGACATTTTTGATATCAACTTCATCCTCACTTTTTAGTTCTCCCATCTCCTTATTAATCAACAAACCCACTGTCAGTGGATGATATTTTTCGTCCTGTTTTGCACAGTTAGAAGTGTCATTCACTTCTTTCTTGCATGGTACATCATCATTCATATTAAAATTATCCTCATTTTTGATGTGTCCTATCTCCTTTTCAATCATAGATAAATCTACGTTCAGTGGAACATATTTTTCTTCCTGTTCCTCATAGCTGGTGTCGTCGTTTTTGAAATCCATGAAGTCTTTTTTGGAATTGAAGAGATTGTCAAACTCTTCACCTTCATTGGCTTTGAATTCACTTGGTTCCAATTTCACCATATATTCATTGCAAACTTCCCAGCCAGGTTTTCTCTCAATGGACCTACTTCTACTTTCGCATTCACTAGTAGTCATTATTCAATCTTCAAAAAAAATAAAAAAATTTGGCAATAATGACTTTTGAGTTTATAAAAATTCAACAAGTGTTGATATTTCATATCATAACATTGCCAATGGTTTTAGGATTTCAAAAAGCTGTAATCATTTCAAGTTTGTGAGAATAGGATTGTTTGCCATTAGAGAGATCAAGGATTTATCAATCGTTCCTCGTCTTATTCTTATATCTTTACTTATTGCTTGTACCATAATACGTATAGCTTTAATCTTTTTATTGTGCTTGTACTTTTACACTATAATCGACTCCTATCTAACTGTGAGTTTGTGTTCATATACTCATAAATATCATAGAATGATAAACAAATTGAACAATTAGAATTCCCAATAATAAAATAATAAACAATCAGAAGACACACTCGAAAGCGACACCACAGATTATATACTGTAGCGGCACCTTTAATCTGAGGTCTGAGGAATCTATTTCGTTGACTTCCGCCATATTTGCAGAAACCTGCCAATACAGCGCAGTGTTGCCAACAAAGTATCAAGCTACCCACCAGAAGCGATCTCTAAAACCACCAGAATCCACTAACAAAAATCGCAAAATTTTCCACCAACTTTATTTTTGGTTTCCTGCCATTTCAATAAATGAATTTGTTGCCATTGATCCTCCACTTTCGCAATGAATTCAGAACTTTTATTTAATTGAACTATAATGTCTAGTAGATCTTCCTTGTTATGACTAAGTGCTTTTTCGACACTTATTCGCGAAATTTTTTTCATTAATTCCACATTTTCTGGAAGCCAGGGCCGTCGCCATGGAGGGGGATGGGGGGAGCTTCCCCTGTAGAAAACAATAAGCACAATATTATTTAAGTGTTGTTTCCTTTCATTTGTATTGAATAATCCTATACATGGTGGATATGGTGGAAGACCAAGGACCTTGGTCCAAAGTAGAATAATTCCCATTATTATTTTTATTTTATAATTACCAAAATTTATTTTTGTTTGTGCATACTCTATCGGGCATAAGCATTCAGCCAATCTTTGGATAGCTAAGTAAGGAAATTAATATATGATAGTAGTAACTAATCCCTCGGCTTTCATTTTTTCGAAAGTTGGGAAATTTTGCTGGTGGGGTTGGGAAAATTTGGATTCCGTCCCCCCTGGTTTTTCTTTTCGCTACGGCCCTGCTGGAAGCCTATTTTTTATTTCGTCAAATAAACTCACTATAAATTGCATGCACCGAGTCCGTACTATTTCTTCCTCTTCCCTTGGTAATCCCTTTTCTCGCATTTCGAGTATTTGTTTTTCAAATCGGTATCCCAGATAGCATTTTGGATCTAAAAAGTCATGGACATATTGAGTAAAAATATTAATTTTATGTGTAGGTAACGTAACCTTGCTGACAAGCATATCTATCAGGTTGGTCAACTCCCACAGAATAATGTGTGGTCAGTATCTTTTGACTCGAACATTTCGTTAACTCTGTTTATCTCAATCAATATTGGATATGAAAACGAAATATACGCATAATTCATCTCGTTCGCGTACATAGAGTGCAGTAACTCTCTGCCGTATGACAAACTTAGCTATAGAAAAATGAGTTTTCAACTCTAGCCATTGCGTGTATATAAGACTCTATTGACAACGATCTTGTTTGGCATACTTGAACAATTTTATACGGTTTTTGTCCTTCATTGATGGTTTTATATAACTCTTTATACACAGTGTGTCTGGAAGATGAACGAGCAAACCAGTCATACGTCTCTCTAATTAAAAACTCCAAATTCCTCGGCAAAAATTGCTTGGCCGCAGCTGAAACAGCCAGTTGCAAAGAGTGACATAAACAACGTACCAAAACTAAGTGTGGTACTTCTTCTTTCAATTTAGTAAAGACCCCATTATTTACGCCAACCATTACAGAAGCATTGTCTGTACCAATTCCCATTAAATTATCAATTCGCAGATCAAATCGTTTTAATGTCTTCTTGATAGCAGAGATAATACCTTCAGCATTGCACTCAGTTAGTTCAGCAAGGTCTAGATAGGTAGATACTATTTTTTGATATCTAAAACTGTTATAAATTATAATGACCCCAAGGTATTCCTGTATTGCAATATCTGTAGACTCATCAACCAATATATTGTAGGGTTGATCTTTAATATCTTCTTTTAGGATTTGGGGAAAATGCAACGCCAATATATTTTTAATAACCGAAGTGCACTTGGTTCGGTGTAACTGCACTTTATCGATATCTTTTTCATGACTGTGATTAATTACCTCACCCAAGTAATCAACTACAGGGATACTGGTATGCATGGATGTGAACAATGCGAGTCTGGCTTCTTCCTTTTTCTTTTTTCCTACAGGCTCTGGTTTGAACGGTAGCTTAGGTTGCGTAACGATAACCTGTAAAAATGTAAATAAAAATATACAAAAACTTCCTTTATAGTTTAGGTTAGAGCGCGCGCTAAATCATGTCACACTATTTGCTCAAAAAATATCTATTCTTCTGGGTAGTTCGTTAAAATAGAAATATTTTCATGACTACCGAACGAAATAATTATAAAACATCCTTCGTATACATACCTTCATATTTTGTTGATGCTTTTTCAACATCCCATATGTTTTTATATCTCCATAGTGAATCCGTAAAATCGTTCCACAAAACTTGCATTTCGGTACTTGATCAGCAGTACTTTCAATTACTTGAAGCCAATCTTTTAAATGTGGGTCTTGAAGCCAAGAATCCAGAAACTTTCGTGAATATTGTGGTTTCGACATGGTTATTAATGACGAAACATGAAACAAACAAAACAAACCGATACCAACTCACTGAGCTCGAACGAAAATGTAGACTTGAGCGATAACTTGAGCGAGACACCCCGTCGGGGTGTCGGGGAATCCCCGATAATGATACTTTACTGTCATTTTTTAAAAGAGTTTGTGGCCTGGATGCGTGTCCTTTTGGCTTGTAACAGATTAAAATCTTAGTAGAAATTGGAAAAATGTAATTTTTCCTTTATCCTACATTTTTTAATACATGAATTCCCACAATGAATAGGCCATCAATGATATATTTTCATTTGATTCAATTTTCACCAGAAAAATAAATATAGTAACCTAACAGTCTAATTCCACGAGGAGTAGATATACATATACTTAATCGGAGCACACAATTTATTCAGTTGCAAAGCAAAACTCAGGCTAAGGAGTACAATTCAACAAAAATAAAAAAAAGAATTGAAAAAATGTAAATCAGAAAAATATCACAGTCATCAATATCAACTGATTTACGTGTTTAGGTATACATCAGCACATTATGCTTATTAACTACACATAATGCACATTTTTAAACTGAAATTGAAGACATTTATTGGAGATTTCTTCTAGTGAGTAAGCTCAATAATATATCACAGAGCAGATAAAAATGCGTTCTGGAAGGCTGAGATGTGATTTCAATCCAGTAGAATAATCACGTTTGTGGCCATTATTCAAATTTTAAATTATTATCATTCATAAACATAACACATACGTATATGTATAATATACATATTGAAGAAATGGATAAACAGTTCTATAGTAGTCATTTTCAAAAGCATCAATATTCAAGTGTCTCTTTAGAGCTCTATATGTATCTCAGTTTGACATCAATAAATATTCCTAGTAATTTTGTACTTGATGAAAAGTAGGTATAGTTTGTGGTACCCAATGTAGCGTGCGCTGGAATTTTTGTATTGGTGTTACTTGTTTTAAATATCATAAAATCAAAAAAGCTCATTGTGAATAAAATAAAAATATGCAATGGATATATTTTCTTACCTATAGAGCTTTCCACAATACTTCGGCCATAAACTGGCATGATAAGACTTGCATCGTCAGTATAACTCACAACAGATGTACCTACTTGATTATTTGAATATTTCTTACAAATATTTCATATAAAGGATGAAAAGTAATGGACCCAGCACACTTCCTTATGGATAACTTCTTTTAATTTCTGCATGATCAGAAGAAAAATCTTTATCATTTATTTTAATGGATACTTTTTGTTTTCTGCCACTCAAATATAGATTTCATAAGCTCGAGAGCTGTTTCTCCCATTCCATAATGTAACAGTTTTTGAACTCATATGGAAGGATTACCCCAATCAAAAGCCTTACTCTTGTTCAAGTAAAAATAAATTTGATCAACAAAATCGAATAAAGCGGTTTCTATGATTCTCCCTTCAAGGAAACTGTGCTGAAAATTATTCTGTATTGTTAAATCAGTTGCAAAGCCAACCGCCGACCTCTGCCTTTCACTGCAAGGCAATTAGTTGGAAACTAGAGCCTAACAAACACAACGCATTCGTGATTCAACACCAGAAAGCGTTGTTTCGACCCGCCATAGGTCTCATCAATGGTGCTAAACTGAACCACAAATGCGTTGCTTTTTGCTGGACTCAAATATCCTCGAATGACAAGCTTGAATAAGTAACGTCGACATCTTTCCTTACGAGGACGCCATCTGTGGGATCGACAGAGAATGGCACGGAAGATGTCCATCTCACTTACGCTGGCGGGTCGAAACAATGCTGTCTGGTGTTGAATCATAAATGCGTTCTGTTTGGGATGGTTTGGGCTCTAGTTTTCAAATTCATTATTAAACTCAAATTTTCACATATTATATTTACAAAATATCTTTACCTCAATTAAAACGTTAACAGTAGTTAATTACCTGGTGAAAATTGAATAAAATGAACTTTCTAGATCTGATTGAAATAACGAAATGTTGAACATTTATTGTTTTGAGCTGTTTAATTGTGAATTTGTGAGAGTAATATTTTTGGTACGATTATTATAGATGAAAAAAACTGATGAATAGGTAAAATAAATTACTTTCACACAAGGGAAGCACAAAAAAATCACAACAACAAAACAGCTGACCGAACTTTGTTTTTGCTTTACCATCTGTCTTAGTTGCAATATGTAGATGTCATATCTGGACGATAAACTTCCCAATCCCTTCAATCAGAAGTTAACGTCAATTTAATGTCAACCAATGGCACAAAAGGGCTCCAAATTATACAGAGGCGGACTGTAAATTACTTAAGTGGGTATTTAAGAAACTAGTAGGTTTATTGATTTCAGGCCACAGACCATATAGTTAAATTCACAATAATTATAATTTTTTTTTATTTGATAATGACTACTGATGAACGTGGAATCAGACCATTTGAAAAGGAGATGGAATCTCTTAAGGATGAAATTGTTTTTCAATCAAATATGATCAAATTTGAACCATGCAAAACTGAAATATTTAATGAATTTGAAGAGTACAGCAATGCTTCTAATATTGATAACTGCAGAACTGAATACAATTCTGTTGCACCTAAAGAGAAAGTCAAATAATCTGTTGATGATGAAGTTGTTTCCCAAACAAATATAATTAAACTTGCAACATTCAAAACTGAAATATTTGGTGAATTGGAACAGTAC